GTGTCCCTTTGGGACTCGTGTGTCCGGTTGTGGGCAGTAAGGCGATGTTAGTCGGCCTGTAGGTGGTGTTTGAAACAAAGTGGTGGTCTCAGTGGGGGCAATTTGAACTGCAGAGCCTTTGCTAAAATCCAGTGTTGGCCCTTCAATGTCCGCCACCAGGTGTGGACACGCCATCACGTGTGAACAGTCTCTGCGTGAACCCCAAACCAAGGTTAGTCTAGCATGCCGAGCTGCGTTTCTAACATCACTTCGGTTTGCACTCTGATGTGTACTTCCGACGCGCATTTCGGTGTGTATGTTGACGCGTATTTCGACTTGTATGCCGATCTTGCAAGTCGAGCTGTTTTTTTAGATTTGGCTATCACATCGAATTTCGATGTCCAATTGGATTTGCATGTTCATGTGCATGTCAATTTGGATGTCGCTGTGCATGTCGATTGTGTTACGACTTGTAACACTCGTTCGACACTCCGACTTGCATGCCGATGTGCATTTAGACTAGCACTTCGACGTGCATTTCGATGTGCATGTTGACTTGCATTTCCGACGTGCGTTCCGATCTGCATGCTCATGTGCATTCGATGTCTTTCGATTGAACTTGGATGTGCATGTCGGCTTGCATTCAAACTTTCATTTCGATGTGCATGCCGTTTGCACGTTGTTATGCGTGCCGACGTGTCGACTTGTATTTCCGAAGGGACGACCACGGGAATCACCGCCGAATGCTGTTGGCAGGCTCACGGGCGGTGCTGTGCTTTGATAGGCGTTATCGGCGATGCCCAGTAATAAAATCGGCATGTCGACTCCATCGGCTGGAACTACGCTGCATTGGCGGCGAGCCCGGGGGAAACTGAGAAAGAGCGGGCCTTCTCAGAAGGCTCGGACATCCTCCGGCCTGCTGAGAGATGTTGTAAGCTTTTCCCGAAACCACGGAAAACTTCTCAGAAGGCGCGAGGGCTTCTGAGAGCTCCCGCCGCCTTCCGAGAAGGCCTTCTGCTTCTCACTTCCCCCCCTCGGTCGCCGTCGACAACATCAATCAACTGAACCTCCTCGCCGCTCCCCTCGTCCTCCCAGGGGCCTCTGGAGCTGTCTTGGGCTCCTCCTGGGCCCTCCAGGGGTCTCTCTTGGGCCGTCCTGCGGCCAGCTGGAGGCCTCAAAAGCCCATCGGAAGAGGAGAGAAGCGGCGGAAAAGCAGAACATGCTTGAACAACCATGGTTTTGCGTGATACTGTCGTCTCCAGACCAGTCTTGAGATTTTCCGTGTGGGGCGTCTCTAAAATGGGGGGCCGATAACTGGGGGTGAGGAGGACAAGTGCACTTTTCGGGCCCTGGAGGCCCCCTTCTGGGCCCTAAACGGCTCATTTTCTGCAGCCCTTGCTCTGCCCCCCAATTATCGCCCCTCCATTAGTGCCCTCTCCGGGGCATGCCGTGACACCCACCCAGGATACCTCAACGCTGCCACGGCGATGTGCCATTTCGCCGTACTCAGTTCCACCTCCGCTTCTGCCCGCCTTGCGAGCGCCCATGCCGCCTGTATTCGGCCTTACTGGAACCGTCTTGGATGCGCGACACGCGACTTGCCATCGCTCGGACGTCCATGCCCCATGCGTTTGTGGGCCTCGTGCGTGTTTTTTTTGGGCAGGATGGTCCAAGATGCTCCGCGATGGTCATCGCCGGGGGAAAATGCACACGTCCGCGAGATGTGGACGCCCGAAATGGGTACGGAAAGAATGGGCACTATGCCCAACAACAAATGTTGTCCCAAGCCAGCAGCGGCCGCTGTTGGACAGCGGCCTTCTGTCTCGAATGGGCACGGGCCGCGGCGGCGTGGACAGCGAGTCCTGTTCAAAATGGACAGGAACTGCTGTTGGGCATCGTACCCATTCTTTCCGTACTCCAGATTTCGTAATAAAAGGGAGGGGGTCTGGACCCTCCAAGACAAGCCATTTCAGACCCCCCCCCCGTGGGAGAACCCTCCAAAACATCGTCCCCAGACCCCCCCAGGCCCTCCAAGATAGCCTGGAAGAGACCCCCCCCGAGATGAGACCCCCCTCCCCTTTCTTACGAAATCTGGAGTACCCGTTTCGGGCGTCCAGGCGAGATGCCAGGTCCCGTGCCCTGGGTGGAGGGTTCCCCCGCTCTGCGAGGGAGGTCCGCGCCGCATCGCTCCCCCCCCCGCACCCTGCGGACTCCTGGCCACTGGCAGTCCGGGGCGCCGCGGCCGCCCCCTAACAGTCCGGCCTGGGGCAGAGAAGAACTGAAGGGGCCCAGGGACACACAAACAAATACACACACATAAAAGGATTCTCAACTGTTTCCCATATTTTCTAAGTTTTTGTCTTCCCCCCCACTTCCCATATCTTCCCATGTTTTCGGGGGAATCGACAATTAATTGTGTCTGTGTGTTTTTTCCTCTCCTGAAGAACCTCCTCCAAGAGCACGGGGTCCTCCGCTGGCCAAAGCACAGAGCATCCAAGGCAAGCCTCGTCAAACATAAATTGACAAGCTGTCCAGCATCGAAGCGCCCGACAATTCGGGCACTTGTCAGAAAACGCCCTCTCCAGTGCCGTGAGGGTGCTGCAGGGTGTCGGACACCCCTGCGTCTGGGCCGAATACCTCATGCCAACATTGGAAAGAGCGTGTTCTACCGCTGCAGGCGGAAAACCGGGGGGGGTCACTACCGGTTCGAACCTGCTGGCGGAAAACCGGGGGGGGTCACTACCGGTTCGAACCCCTCCCCCCCCCCCCCTCCGGAAAACCGGGGGGGGTCACTACCGGTTCGAACCCCTCCCCCCCCCCCCCAACTCATCATGAAAAGGGGGGGGGTCACTACCGGTTCGAACCCCTCCCCCCCCCCCCCCCCTCCGGATCCGGAAAACCGGGGGGGGGTCACTACCGGTTCGAACCCCCCCCACCCGTTCGAAAACCGAGTGGGGGTGCGGACAGTGGTGGGGACGGTGTTGGTGGGGGCAGCGGTGAGGGGATAGCGGGACAGTGGTGGGGACAGTGGGGCAGTGGGACAGTGGTGGGGGCGGCCGTGGTGGGGACAGTGGTGGGGACAATGGTGGGAACAGGGGGGGACAGCGGACAGTGGTGGTGACGGTGGTGATGGGGGCAGTGGTGTGGGGACAATGGGAATGAGGTGGAAACAGTGGGACAGTGGAGGGTACAATGGTGGTGGGGACAGTGGTGAAGGCGGTTGCGAGGACGGCGGTGGGACAATGGGACAGAGGTACAGTGGGGACAGTGGTGGGGACAGTGGGGACAGTGGTGGGAACAGTGGGACAGCTCAGTGGGACAGCGGAGGAGTCTGTGGGACAGTGGGGACAGTGGGGATAGTCGGGCAGTGGTTTGGGCCGTGGAGAAAGTTGGGAGAGTGGAACCGTGGTGGGAACAGTGGTTGGGGACAGTGGGGACAGTGCGACAGTGGTGGTGGCACTGGTGGGGACAGTAGGGGCGGTGGTGGAACCAGTGGGGACAGTGGTGGTGAGAACAGTGGTGCTGGGAACAACAGTGGGGGATGTGGTGAGGACGGTAGTAGGGACCGGGAGTCGTTGCTGGCGGTGGAGTAGGGGGGGGGGGGGGGGTTCGAACAGTAGTGACCCCCCCGCGTTTTCCGGATCCGAAGGAGGGGGGGGGGGGGGGTGGGGGGGAGGGTGTTCGAACCGGTAGTTACCCCCCCGGTTTTCGAGCGGGCGGGGGGCGAGGGGAGGGGGGGGGGGAGGGGTTAGGGAGGGGGCGGTTTTGCGGGGGAGGGGGGGGGGGGGGGGGGAGGGGTTCCAGCAGGGGGGGGGGGGGGTGATTTGCGGAGCCGGGGAGGCGCGGGGGGGCGACCCCCGGGTTCCGGAGGAAAAGGTTGGCAATTTTCCACAGTAAAGCGGCGGTGGATCACGCTCTCTCCAACATTGAAATAGCGCCCACCACGCAAGCACCGAAAACAAAAACCGTCGCATCTGTTTTGACGAGTCTTGTAGGATGCTCAAGAACGTCCAACAGGCACGAAGAACATTGGGGTACCCTGCCCAAACCGACCTCGATCTTATACCTCGGTTCGACCGTGTCCGATCTGGGGAGAAAGGAAAGGCCACGGATGTCCGTCCTTGTGATGCCGAGCCTCTTGAGATCCTTTCGAAACGCTTTTGGGGTGCTATGGGAAACCTGCTGGGCCCTGTTGAGGCCTCCTGGAGCTTCTGGGGGATCTCCTGGAGCCTGGGACCTGTGCGAAAATCCTCGCTGACCTGGCCTCGGCGTCGAGGGCTTTGGGGGGGCTCCTGAAGCCCTTTACGGGCTCTCCAAGACGAAGCCAGGACGAGGATAACATCGAGTGCGGATACATCGAGAATCTCAGAGAACCATCGGCTCTGGATGTCTCGGGCGCCGCGGCCTTCTCAGAAGGTTCCGAAACGCTCTGGGAGCGCTCCAGAACGCTCTGGAACGGATGCAGCTTTCTCGATACTTTCGTCAAGGCTCTCCTGGCCCCCATTGGGGACCTGTGGGACCATCGCAGGACCCCGAGACGAAACCTGCGACGAAGATGAGGTCGGGACGACTTTTTCTGCGGTGCAGGGCTAGTCTGCAGCCCGCGTCGGGCATGCGAGCAGCCCCGAGACGACAAACGTCAGGCGCAAGAGAAGCGGCGATGGACGGCCGCCAACTGCGGGAGGACGGATGGATACACTCAGTGGTCACGCCTGAACGTAGCATGCATGGGTGAAGCGGGGAATCGGAGATTGGGGAGGAGAAGTGGGAGGGAGTGAGGGGGAAGAGGAGGAGGGGGGTAAGCTAACAGAGAAAAACCTATTACACCTACCTGTGCCGGTCACGCGATCGCGCGGACAACCCGACGGAAAACTGTCAAAACGTGGTTGTGTGGGTATTGTGCGCTCCCAGGGATATTCGCGCCATCGGGCCGCTCCACGGCCCGAGTCTAAACTGGCACTCGTCACGAATCCAGAGCGACATGTATGGACGGCCCCGCGCCGCCCAGGCCGCCAAAAGGATCAAGGCCCCCGTTCCAACGGGGCAGACGTGGCCGTCTTTGAAACCTGGGCCTCGCGCCGTGCAGCCTGCGCGCGTGCCTGGGCGGCGAGGCTTAGCACGCCGGGAGGCCGGCTGGAGCGGGGTCGGAAGCGAGGCGCGGAAGCCTGAGCAGAGGAAGCGACTGCACTTCAGCTCAGGATTGGAGAAGGAGCGAGCGGAGGAGGAGGAGGAGAGGGAGGAGAGGAGTAGGAGGAGAGAGGAGGAAGGAGGACGGGAGGAGGAGGAAGGCGGCGCAGGAGGAGGAGGAGGGGGAGAGAGAGCCAGGAGAGCGCAGCGAGGAGGAGGAGGAGGGAGGAGGAGGAGCACCAAAGCTTTCGGCCCAGGACCCGAGGAGGCGCGGGCGGGCTCCGTCCTGGCCGTGCGGCGGAGCGTTCTCCCTACGCGGACGGCCCGAGCGCCTCCAGCAGAGAGGCCGCCAAGACGTCGGCGATGACCCGGACGTCCCTCTCGGAGAACTGCGGCGGGATTAAGGGGAACAAAACGTGGCATAAATCTCAAAACTCGGAGGTCCGCGCGGATTTCTCGGATCGGCGCCGGACCCCCCTCCCGAGCGCGCGGAGCGCGCCAGGGGCGGCGCCGGAGGCGCCGCCGGGGGGCCCCAGCGCCGATCCGAAAAATCCGCGCGGACCTCCGAGTTCTTATGCTTATGTCACTTTTTGTTCCCCTGGGGATCCGCACGTCGTAGGCCATCTTCACCAGCGCGGCTGTGTTGGAGCAGGACGCGATGCCCGCCTGCACGTGCTGAGCGCCCAGGAACTCCCACGCCGTGAAGTTGCGCGCGTTCCCCTGCGCGCCGAAGATGCTCAGCGGCACGCCCCTGGCCTTGGCGTTCGCGAGGAACCTGTCGCGGACCTGCGCCGGGAGGTCGGCCACGAACTGGAGGCTGTCGAAGCACGGGCGCACGCACGCCGGCAGCTGGGGCGTGTAGATCTCGGCCCTGTCGCCCAGCGCCGCGGCGACCTTCTGCGTGAATCGGTCCCTCAGGAGCTCGTACTTCGTGTTCGCCACCGCGATGCGCGCCTCGAGGCTGCGCAGCTGGCACGGCAGCACGGATGCGGTGAGGTTGGACATGCGGATGGAGTAGTTGGGGAACCTCTGCGGCACCAGCCTGCCGAACACCTCTGGGCCCGGGACACAAATGTGCTTCTTGAAATTCGCCTCGTAGCCCCCGGCCATGATGCAGATCTTGGCCGCCACGTCGTCGTCGTCGGTCAAGGCGAACCCGCCCTCCCCAGAGTTAATGATCTTGTATGACTGCGAAGAGACGCAGCAGACCCTACCGTGGTGCCCAGTGTGCGTCCTGCCCCACCACACGCCCAACGAGTGCGCACAGTCCTCGACGATGGTGATGCCGCGCTTGTCGCAGACTTCCTTCACCTGGTCCAGCTCCGCCACGCGCCCGCGCATGTGCGAAAGCATGAGGAACTTGGCGCCAGTCTCGTCGGCCTTCAGAGCCAGGTCTTCGACGTCGATGACGATGTCGCGCGTACTTTCGACGAAGCAGAACTCTCCGCCTGCATGGTGGACGGCAGATGGGACCGCGCCGAAAGTGAGAGCGTTGCCGAGCACCTTCGTGCCCTGCCCCACTCCCACGGCCTTGAGCGCCAGGAACAGGGCCGAGCCGCATGAATTCATCGCGACGCAATACTTGAAGCCCATGTAGTCGGCCAACTGCTTCTCCACGAGCGACACGGGGGACTGCGAATCTTCGCGGTTGTAGCGGAACAAGTCACCAGACTCCAACAGACGCATGATTTCCTTTTGCTCCTTCCGCTCAACCGGCTCGGGCGCGTTGAAGCTCTTGCAGATGCGCGGGTCCGCGCTGTCTGGCGGACTCGTCTGCGCGGGCTTGACAAGGCCGCTGAAGCAGGAGGTGAACGCCATCGTGCTGACCTCTGTTGACCGAGCGAGTGCCGAAACCCGCTGGGCAAGAGGTGGTAATCAGAAAGCACCGCTCGAGAAACAGAACGGGGCGCAAATCGCTTCAGCCGGAAAGGCTTGAGCCCACATGGCGCATTATGACCGCGAGGAGGACGAGGACGAGGACGAGGGCGGCGACGCGAAAGAGGTTGGAGGACGGCGAAGACGAGGTCTCCAGAGGCCACGTCCCCAGTGGTCCCCGGAACTCGCCAGACGTCTCCAGAGGTAGGCCACCGAAGCCTCTGGAGGCCAGACTAAGAGGAGCCAAGAACGTTTGAACATCTAAATCCTCCTCCTGACGGCGAGGGCTGAGGCGTGCCGTGCTCGTGGATGTTGTTGTGCAGCAGCCTGCCCGTGAACGAACACCCGAGAGCCCAGCGCCTTGGCCGCGCGCCGCATCGCTGGGCCACCCTTGGCTGCACGCAAGGGCAATCGGAGGCAAGAGGAGTGACCCCTGCTGCGCGGGGGGGGGGGTAAGGGGGCGAATCCGAGCGCGCAAGCCAGTCCCGGGGGGACCCCTGTGGGCCCGCACCCCGCACCAATGATCACTCCGGCGAAGGGCCACTCTTCCGCGCAGGTGCAAACCGCGCTGCGCCGCAGGCCCCCCGCTCGGCCGCGCCGCCCGCCAGGCCGGCTGCCCCCCCAGTCGCCGCCGCCGTCGTGGTCGCCGCCGGCGGTGGTGGTCGCCGCCGTCGCCGTCGTGATCGTTGCCGTCGAGGTTGCCGTCGTCGCGGTAACCGTCGTCGCCGTCGTGGTTAACGTCGTCGAAGCCGCCATCGTCGTCGTCGGCACTTCCCTTTTCCTCCTCCTCCTCCTCCTCCTCCTCCTCCTCCTTCACTCCCTTTTCATTAATACTACTCAGACTCATAGACTACCTAAGTACTCATACTAATAAAACTCTAACAACACATCCCCTCCATCCCCTGGATTTTGCACTGACAACTTATATTCCCCCCCCCCAATACACCGACTACTAATCCTACTCCCTCCTAAATCCTCCTCCTCCTTCCTCCTCCTCGTCACTCCTTCTTATTCTCCTCCTCTCTCCTGCCACCCTGTCCAACCTCACATTTCTTCTTAATTCCTCCTCATTATCCCTCTGATTCTACCTCCTCAACTCTCCTCCTCCTCCTCCTCCTCCTCCTCCTCCTCCTCCTCCTCCCCCTCCTCATCCTCCTCCTTCTCCTCATCCTCCATGTTCTCATTTCCCACCGCCTTCTTCTCTGCCCTTCTCCTTATTTTCTTCCTTCTTCCGCCTCCTCTTTGCACCGCTACCTTGAGCCTCAACCTCCTCGCCTTCCCCGTCACTCCTGATGGGGTGGGAATACGAACTGGTAGGGGGTCAAGGAAGCCACGACCGACGACGACGACGACGGCGACGACGACAACGACGACGTCGGCGGCGACGACAACGACGATGACGACGACGAGGGCGACGACGACAGCGACGACCGAGGCGACGATAACGACGACGAGGGCGACGACGACGACGACAACAGCGACGACCAAGCCGACGACGAGGACGGCGACGATGACGATGACGGCGGCGAAGACGACGAGGACGGCCACGAGGACGGCTGACGAGAACGACGGCGACGACGGTGGCGACGACGACTGCAACGACGGCGACGAGAACGGCGAAGACGCCGGTGGGAGGAACGGTGGCGGCGCGGCGACAGTGCCGGGGCCGGCGCTTGCAGCCGTCGCCGGAGGCGCCGCGGTCCTTGGGCGGGGAGGGGGGGATGCAGGATCGTGGTAGAGGCGGCCAGGGCCGCGGGCGCGGAGGAGCAGGGAGGCGAGGGGCTCGTGGGGTTGGGGATGGAGGGTCGAGGAGCGAGGATCAGGAGTCCAAGATCGAGGATCAAAAGGATCGAGCTTTAAGGATGGGTGGTCGAGCTTTGTGGAGGGTCTAGGGTCTGGGGTCGAGGCCTCTGGAGGTCTGGCCTCCCGAGACCTTCGCGGGCCATCCGGAAAGGAGGCACTGCTCGTTTTTCTGTGGTCTTGCGTCGGGCGTTCCGGGAAGGTGGCAGGGGGTAGCCCTTGAGGTCTCAAGAGATTTCCTGGGAGCGGGACTCGGACGAGGAAGGCGACGAGGAGGGGCGAGGAGGACTCCCTCTCCCTTTCCTCCTCTTCTTCCTCCCCTCGCGTGCCCCCTCCTCCTCATCCTCGTCAGCCTACCTCCTCCTCCTCCTCCTCCTTCCTCCTCCTCCTCCTCCTTCTCCTCCTCTTCTTCCTCCTCCTCCTCCCTCCTCCTCTCTCCTGCCCGTCCTCTCTCTCATTTCCATTCCGCATTCCAGTTTCTCCTCCTCCCGCAGGAGGGCAAGTGGAGGAGGGGAGGAAGGGCTGAGAGGGGCTGCAGGGCCGTCCAGGGCAGGAGGATGGACGGAGAGGGGCGCGCAGGGGGAGTGTGCGCTCCCCTCTCCTGCGCCCCCCCTCCCCCTCCTCCTCCTCCTCCTCCTCCTCCTCCTCCTGCTCCTGCTCCTCCTCCTGCTCCTCCTCCTGCTGCTCCTCCTCCTCCTCCAGGAAGGGCAGGGAAACAATCGGTCTGCAATTGATGGCCTGAATGGGGCCTGGGGCTGCGGGGAGGCGGAGCAAAAGCAGACGGAAGGCACGCCAACCTGCGGAGAGCAGCGATGAAGGGCGCAAGAGCGAGGCCGTGGCAGAAGGAACACCGCGCGCGATCAAGGACCCCCACTGCATACCCGAGGGATTAGGCGGCACCTCGCCCCACGAACCCCAAGAAGGCCTGGAGAACTCACAAGGGGCTAAAGAAACAGCCAGGCGGACCCACCAGGTCTACGAGACCCCAACTATCTCGGCCCCGAAAGGGCCCCAATAATGCCCCAAAGGCTTACGAGGGGGTCCAAGACAGGCCCAAGAGGGCCCCAAGAGCTCAGAGACCCCAAATTGGATTGGGCATCGGGGTTCAGCTGGTATCAGCCCTCTCCAGGAGGAAAATCGCTCTCCAAGATATGGTCCGAATCGGCCCCAATGTTGCCCAGAGAAGGCGCCAAGAGGTGTAGCGGTGGCTATGACATGGCTCAAGACGCCTCCAGCACAGCCCAGTTGACTTCTAGCCTCCTCGGCGGCACCCCAGCAGGCACAGACATGGAGACATCTACAATCAGAACATGTCCACAAGAACGTGGGTCAATACTATGCAATCCTTACGCCCCGCGCTCTACGCGGGGTGGCTCACATAGCCCACGACACATCCAAATATTGGATTCAAAAAACACTGAACAACAGCAGCAACACCAACACTCCACCACCACCAACAACAACACCAACAATCATTATACCCTCATGCGCGATGCTTCCACACGCAACATGCGACCATCAGGATAACCATCCCCATCATGCGGGATTATTGTTCAATCGCGGGGGTCCGTTACTCCCATTCCCAGATCTCCCGCCCAATGGGGTCGTGCAAACACCTCCTCCGAGGAAATTCAACATATTCCGCCTCGAAAACACATGCCCGCGCCCTGCTGCGCCTATGCGAGACCGCCAGTGGAACCCCAACCAAGGGTTAGCACAAGGAGATATCGAGTGATAGGATTGGTTTGGTGGGGATGGGGGCTGTCGGCGGCGAGGCAAGGACCTGGCCCTGAATAGAAATGGAGGAAGTCTCGAGCAGGGGTGCTGTTGTTGCTGGGAGCGGCGCCAATGCAGAAGAGAGTAGGGCGCTAGTCCAGCATGAAACAACACGAAGTCTCGAGCGGGAGCGCTGGTTCTGCTGGGACGGCAGTTGTCGGCGGCGAGGAAGAACACCGCCTTGAGTAAGAAGGGAAGAAGTCTCGAGCGGGAACGGCGGTTTTGTCGGGACAGGGGCTGTCGGCGGCGAGAAACAAGACCGTGTTCAGGAAAAAGGGGGAAAACCTTGAGCGGGAGCGTTGTTCTTGCTGGGGGCGGCGCCAATTCAAAAGAGAGTTGGGCACCAGTCCAGCGCAAAACGGACGGAAATCTCGGGCGGGAGCGCTGGTTTTGTTGGGGCGGCGGTTTTCGGCGGCGAGCAAAAGCACCAGCTCTGACTGTAACAAAAAAAATCTCGAGCGGAAGCGTTGTTCTTGCTGGGGGCGGCGCCGATGAGAGAAAGCGTAGCGCGCCAGTCCAAGGCAAAACGGGAGGAAGTCTCGAGCGCGAGCGTTGGTTTTATTGGGGCGACGGTTTGTCGGCGGCGAGCAAGATCACCGGCTCTGGGTAAACAAAAAAGAAGTCTCGAGAGGGAGCGTTGAACTCTCACTTCTGAAAATAATTATTGTTGATCCCACCCGTCCGGTGCACATTGTTTTTTCTCGATTGAAGTGCCCTTCCGGCCCTTCCCAGGGCTCGCACCCTGTTTTGTATCAGGGAAAGTCTTGAAGGTCAAACTGTGTCCTTGGCCCCCGGGTTACAACAACAACGGCTCCCGCCGGAGACTTCCTCACAATTTAGCCAGGACCCCCGCTCCTGCCAGAGACTTCCTTGCATTTTATTAAGGAATCGCGCTCTCGCTTGGGACTTCCTTACAATGTATTCAGGAATCGTTCTCCCGGCGCTCGGGAGTCGCGCTCTCGCTGGAGACTTGCTGGCAATTTACGGAAAAATGGCGTAGTTGCGTTAGAAATGTTTGCAATTTACTTACGCGCCGCGTTCCCGACACCCAGGCACCCAGGAGTCGCGCTCACGTTTAGGACTCCCTCACATATTACCTAAGAATCGTGATCTCGCTGCCCTTCGTGGCCCCGTTGCAGCCCTTCGTGGCCCCTTCGCTTTGTTTCGTGGCCCCGTTGCAGCCCTTCGTGGCCCCCTCGCTGCCCTTAGTGGCCCCGTTGCAGCCCCTCTTGGCCCCCTCGCTGCCCTTCGTGGCCAATTTGCAGCCCTTCGCGGCCCTCTCGCTGCCCTTCGTGGCCCCGTTGAAGCCCGTCGTGGGCCCCTCGCTTTGTTCCGTGGCCCCGTTGTAGCCTTTCGTGGCCCCCTCG